CCTGCTCCAAACAGTTTACAGTCTAAATACATTTGTTCTAATTTAAGCCCTGATCCTACAATCTCAGAGCCACTGGCCAGGGCCTCTTGAAAGTTCATAGGGCTAGGGACCTGTGCTAGTGGCAGCAACCCCAGGATGTGGCAGCAGAAACCAAGAGTGATATAAAAATGCTGGTGGCACATGAGACAGGAAGCGAAACTAACGATCAATCAAACAATGAAACTGGCTGTGCATGAAGCACTGCCCCCAAAGAGAGAGATCTTGCAGCACTGGCTCTAATCTTGTTCCCTTCTAGCCATCCAGTGTTACTTGAGAGCAATACACGACCCATTCTCAGACAAACCCGAGCCCAGGTTAACCAGGTTAGAATTTGGCCAAGACACGAGCGCGAATGAGCAAAACTCTTGCCAGAAAAAGAAAATAGTGTGTCTGCTTTTCACTAGCAGCATCTCATGTGTAAATCAGCCAAGCAGCCTACGTCTGGGCCCGCAGTAACTCAGAGGGAAGAGCATCACCTAGAGAATCACCAGGTCTCTCAGCCAACGGTTGACCCAAGCCTGGCCCTGCTTCGTTTGAGAGATCGCACAGTAGCCCAGCGCAAGCTGGCATGGCTACAGACAGAGCGAGATCTATACCCAGGGCTTGCTTTGCCCGGGCGAGCAGACTGCAGAACCGTTTGCCAATAGCAGTGCAACTAACAAGTACTAGCGACGGTGAAAATGATGGTGCGTAGACTAACCTCACACAGGGGTCTTCAACCTGATAGCATGAAACTCATCCCAGTCACTGGTCTTACACAATTGCTAGTGGCAGTACGGTTTTGGCAGGGTGAAATTCTGTAGTGTCAACGCCCCCTCTTAGTGCTGAACAAAGATAGATTTTGGTTCAGGATAAAACTATTTTAATTCCTTTTATTTTAGAAATTGCTGGAGGGGTTTGGTCCGGGATACATTTCTGTGCAACAGCCAAAAAGATGGACTAATAAAATCCTTGCTTTTGCCGAAAAGGCCTCCCCTCTATGCCTCTTGCCTGGGCTACACCTGAACTTCCAAGAACCCCAACTGTCACATGGTCCCACTGCTGGACGTTCGTACGCACTGTTCACGCACATTGTCTCCTCTAGATTTCACAATGGGAGATTGACACCCTGGCCAGTTTCCCTTCTGCAGAGATGGGTTAGATCCACTCTCCTCCCCAGCGTTGTGGGGTGACCCAGCAGACAACAGGCCAGTTGCAGTTAGTGAGGTCTGATCCTTGAGGAGAAGTGTTAACAAGACATCAAACAGCTGCAGCAGGAAGGGCAATGGGAAGTTAAAACTCCCTAAGAAATCCCTCCACTGTCTCCAAAGCAACCACCTTCAGAGCCCTTTCCCTGAGCACCTGTTCAGGAGGTGGAGGGAAGCTGAACTGGATTTAACCCCTCATTCACCAGGCGGCCCCTGCTCCCACCACAGCCCCAGAGCGCAATCAGTGTTAAGCTTCACCTACTCCTTCCCCCTTCATGCCCGCACTCACCTGCAGTGATCTCTCTGTTAGGTTGCTCTGGGGCTTGCTGGCGTGTTGGTTACTCTCCCAGGGCTGGTTACTATAGAGCTCGGCACATGCTGAAGTGCTGTGACATTCAGGTTAGGTCTCTTTTGTTGGACAAGGTCACTGCCTGCTCCTGCATGGCCACGCTAACCCCTTGAATTCCTCCTGGTAACCAGGTACCAGGAGCCCAGCCGCCCACACCATAACTCAGCCTGTCGTCCTACGTGCTGCCCGCCTTAAGCTCATTAGCTGCTAGGGGTTATGACTCCGCAGGGCGGCTGGTAAACAAAACCTGTCTGCCCCATCAGCCGCACGTTGCTAGAGCAGTCCGGTTTTCCCAGGACTTGCCAGTTTTTGTTCATAAATTTTGACTTGGCGGGAAGGATTTATCTCGCCGCAGATGGCTTTGGTGAACCGGCCAGTGCTGCAGATTAATCACACCTGTGGCCATGAACGCGTCAGTAACGGTGCGGGATGCGAGCTGCTGTCATTGATTTGAAGTCTCAGGACGTCTGCCCTACACCTCCACTCCTCACTCACTGTTCTTTGGCCTTGGCCCACCCAGACCCGTTCCCTGTGCCAAGGAAGGATTCAAACCCACCCTTAAGACCCACAAGTGACAATTTTTTAAATCCCAAACTTCTAGTGGGGGGAGAAGAGGGGAGGGAAATGACACTTGCCAAGTGTGACCGCTTAGTGTCAAGGACTAAAAGATAATTCTCCACCCTCCCCGCAGTGCCCCCTGACACAGATGGCAATTTCCTGCAAAACCTTTGGGAGATCTCACTGTATGTTTATGCATGACTAAGGGCCAGGGATTGTCAGGAATTCCCTGGGTGACAGTAACCATGGCTCCCCAGGGACTAGGAACAGTGGGGGGTGATTGTCAGGTTGTAACACCTCCAGAGAGGCACCATTTCCTGCAGCGGCTCACTTGTACTCAGGCAAACTGGAGTCTCCCAAGTCCAGCAGAGAGGGGGCTTGGGGATAAACAGCCTGCGTTTAAACTGACTCGGGGGCTTTTTTCTGATCCAGCCAACAGAGAGGACCTTCTCTCCCAGGGGAGGGCCCCGCTCCTCAGTGGAGAGGTGGAAGGACTGACATGGACCAGAGTCCGTTTGTAGACAGGGGGTGATTTCTGGTAAGCTTATGAGCATGCACATAGCTTCTTTTATTGTTTTTAGTTTTCTCTGCCATGCTTTTACCTTAAGAATAAAGGTGCTTGCTTAGAAAAAAACAATTACCCTGTTCATAACCTTCAAAGAGAAAGCAAAGCAGAGACACTGGGCTCTAAGCACTCTGTCCTGCTGGGTATCTCAGTGTAGGCAGGGAACGGCAGAGCACGGAAAGACCTCGTCAGGAGGGAGCTACGGGTCTCTGCTCGAGAGGTGACAGCTTGAGGAGCCCCAAGCCCTTAAAGGGCCACACCATATGATGGGGAGGGATGACCAGTGGGAAGTACTGCCCTTAAAGGGTTGATTACCCTGCCACCTGGCCCACTCACAGTTCACACGTAAGAATCTCCAGGATCAAGGCCTTGGATTGTAAGCTCTTCAGGGCAGAGACTGTGTCTATTTGTACTGTGAAGCCCTCAGCAGTCTTGAGCAAAAATTGCTTTCACTTCCGGTGCAAAAGAGGGACAAGCCTAGAGACACTGCATGTGGTCTAAGACTCACTGGTATAACATGTCTCTAATAATCCAGCTGGATATCCAGGGCTCCAGGATTCGCCCAACCCTTCTCCCTTGCTCAACATTAGAAAGTGGCCTTTCCCTTCTGGCTTTATTAGCCAATTAACACAGCAGCAGATTAGCAGCAAGACGGGGATCATGACGGGGCAAAGCAGATGGGGCAGAGGATTTGCTTGTCCAGTCAGTCCAAACCAGTGTTCCTCACACACTCGCTCTTTAAAAGCCCACTGAACACAAAGGGAGACTTTCCACTGGCTTCAGCTCAGGCCCTTAGGAGGCTGTGATCTCTCCCCAGCAGGAGGCGCCAGCGAGATGACACATTTTTTCCAAAGTTCCCATCTGTGCAGAAGTTTCACTTCTGCTCTTAGCTCCTTGGCAAGAGACAGGTGGCATTGCCCTCACTCTTGGGGGGTTTGACACTTGAGGGCAATGGAAGCAGGGTAGGGGTATAAGCCAGATCTATTCTACTGGTGGTTACGTGCTGCCTCGTAAACGCTACACCCTGAATGTTCCACCCAATTCATTCTTCTCACCACCTTGCCAGTCTTCACTCCAGCTGTTCAGACCCCATCACCGTGTCAGGTTCTTCGTACACTTCCGTCCGATTGGGTGCTGCGTGCTCGTGCTAGATGTTAAGGTCATTGTTATCCAGCACTTTTCTACTGTGCCTCCCCCCCATGCCCTCAGACTTTTGGCAACTGCCTTGATATTTCAGTGCATATACTTCTGGTGCCCAGCTGCGCCCTTCTCTATATCAGGAAGAAGTAAGAAGATAAATCAGGGAATCATTTCCTACAATCACAGCGGAGCCTGTCTAATCCAGGTCAGGTAACTCTGGAAAACAAACAGGAATCATACTTACCCTCAAAACACTTTATTGTTAATTCAATGTTACATTTCCCACCTGTTTTTCCTAGGTGCTCTTCCAGTGGCTCAAAGAGGCAAAATTAAACACATTCTCAGGAATTTTTTTTTAAATATCAGAAATCAAATCCTCATCATCCAGTTTGAAATAATAATTAAAAAAAAAGACAAAAGTTGGAACACTTAAAAAAAATAGCAGGACTTCATACTGTTAAAGGCCTTCACCTCGAAATAAATAGATAAGAAAATATTTTTTTGAAAGAGAAATCTTAAGCCCAGCTCCATAAAAAAGGCAACCAAAGCTCTGTCCTTCATTGCATCTAGCTATGTCAGAGACTTAATAGCAAAGCATGAAAACTTATAAGGAATTTCAGAGTTTTGCTTAGATGCAGCTAATTAACCAGAGTCGTCCAATTAACAGCTTTTCCCCATCAGAGTTACCTATTGTAGTTAATCTAAGTGCTCAGAAGCTCCCAGGCAGGCTGTGAGCACCTTCCAAAGAGGCACGTCTCAGTGACAAGGTGCACTTCAGAAGACACGCAACAATTTGCTGTTGAAAAGTCTTGCCAAGGACAACACTAGAACAGTTCTTGGCAGCATTAAAGGTCTTGCTGCCTCTATATCACTGTCCTGCCCCCTGCCAGACGGGGAGGATTTCTTCCACCACCACCCCAACAACAAACTATTCAAGGTGAGAAGTGCCCTGGCATACAGCTGAGGTATCTCATGGCAGTACCCAGCTGCCGTGGCAGGGGTCGCTAGTTGTCAACCCTGCAGATCCCTTGCTGCACGCGTCATTCCACATCTATTGCATTGCATAGCCCATTAGCACATCAGACAGCAACTGCTAACAAGATTTAATCCAAACTGGAGTCTTCTGATACTGCTCTTCACTCCCTCCTCACCACCAGCTCTTTAATAAAGCACCTGTTTGTTGAAGGGGACCAGGTCGAGCTACTGTCTTTGGCTATCCTCAGTTACGTTAGTCAACAGGCTGCAAATAAGGAGAGGGAGGAAGAAGCGATACGCAAAAGCATCCTTGTTGGAAATATGTAAACACCACAGTGTGCTGGTTTGGAGAAGTGGGGGGACAATCGCTCCCCCCCTCCAGGTTTATAGTCCTCTATGGTTTGCTGTGATCTCAGAGCAGAATTAAGAGCCCCAGCCGCTGCGGCTGCTGGTTTCTGTTGAGAGTTCAGAGTTTAAGGCATCTCTCTCCCACACTCCCCAGCGCTGGGGCACTTATTTCCACACTGCAGTCACAGGGCACTTTTTGGTTTTTGCATAGCTCTCACCCCTTTCTTGTAATGCCCAAGAAAGCTACAAAGGCTGCAACCAGTCATGGACTGGGCTCTCTTGAAGTGGCCTGTTAGCTCAGAGAGTAGGGTGCAGGGGGGCTCCCCCCAGGCTTTGGTCCACAGTGAAGAGAAGAGGTTCCTTCCCCAGCATCCACACAGGAAGGCAGACAGGGTGTCTGGTTTAGAACTGAACCCAGCCCGGGCTCTGCTGGTTCTGGTTAGACGCAGACCTGGAAGGAAACAAAACCATGCTTTGAGATGCTGAAGGTGGTTTGGGCTAAGGCTGCGGGTTGCCTCTTGAAGGGCTGGTTACTTTGTGAATGTTGGTCAAGCTGCCATATATGGCAGAGATCAAAACCAAAACCCCTCTTAGGGTCGGCCTTCGATGCGGAGTTAACTTGGGCTCTTACTAAGGTGCTGCCCCATCCCCCTCCCACAAAACCCTCTCACCCAAATCTGTTGGGGCTTTACACCTGGGCTAGCTGGCCTGGCTACGGGAGAGAGTTAGAGCTTGGGTGCTGCTTTCTCTTGGGGCTGGGAACCCCCCACTCTGCAGTAAGGATGCAGGCTAAATCACGCTGATAGTCCTCCAGTGCCTTCCCATGATTCTCCTGGGTGCCCAAAAGGACAGACAAGTTTGCCCACAATTCACTGGGAAAAAATCATAGAGAAGCTCAGCAAAAAATGATGGAATGTGTCCCCAGAAGTCTTAGCAACACACACAGGGGCGCACAGCACTAGTGAGGACACAGTAACTCGACGGGCCGCTCACACCCGGGCTACACTAACCCACTACCAGTCACCCAGGCTAACTGCAGTGAAAACATACCTTTAGTTCACACTCGGGCTTTACCATCACTGCTTCGAAAGGGGGGTTGTACAGTGAGAAAGGTGCGGCAGTTAGGAAGACAAGGCACTTTTTGGGCTTCCCGGAGGTAGCTAGGCAAGATCAACACTGTACCCCACACCCGGCGTTGACCGCACCTAGTTTACCTTGCAGTGCCCTGTCTCCTGTTCTCCCAGCAGGATGGCTGTGCGGGGTAGTTATCCCAGGGTAAACCCACCTTTTCTTGTTAGTGAAGACAAGCCCGTGGTTAAGATGCCCTGGGGGCCTGCTTGAACTTGCTAACAGTAATCATTTGAACAGGCTGCAGTGACAGACAACAGGGATGTTAGGGGACAATACAGAGCACCAACAAATACAGGGGCACTCAACTCCTGTTTGTAATGAATGTCCATATTAACTCACCCCTCACCTAGCTGGCAATTTAAACAGAGGGGTCGAGGACAGCCATCCCTTCTCACCCGAGAACGGTGCTCTTCTAGTTCAGGGGAGGCGTGCATGGGG